ACTAATAAAAATGCATTAACTTTAGTATGGAACTAATTTAATTCCCATATGTTTACAAGTTCATATGTCAGAAAATTAGATTGGAGCACAATAGTACCTGAAGTGAAACATATAATAACCACATCTTCAGGTGCCCAACAATATTTGATAGATTCAAGATTTCGGGACAGCCCCTCAAATTTTTGTACACCTGACGTAGTATTACAGGATGAAGAATAAAAGTTTTCAGATATGATCATTGACGATGCCACTTCACACATAAATTTCAATGTAGCTATAAATGTCAAGCATGGATTTGGAGACAGCTTTCATACCATTTGAACTCCAATAATGAAATCCCATATTAACATGCCATCTTGGACGAAACATGGTACCATTTTGCAATTCCGATAACCATGTGCAACAATCATCGGTGACAATCATTGCTGGTGGATAACTTCCAGCGCCACTTTTGACTCCTCCAAGCTCTGGTGGTTAAAAAATTATTGAAGCTATCAAAATAGACCGTATAATAGATAATTAGATATTGCTTCAAATTGTTGAAGATGCTAATATGTCATATGCCATTTACACCATCTAATAAACGAAACAGTCAGTCAGCATATAGTTTCACAAATTTCTTTAATTCCAAACTCCGCAGACCTTAGATTGTAAACCTCACTTATACCACCAAACTTATTAAACACAAACAAGCATATGTTAAAACATATCCTCACATAATTTGCAATCAGTTTATACTTTCAAAACTAAAACTAAGTAACAGAAACTGTTAGCCTTATAATGGTGTAATATCTGACATTAGCGGTACAGAATGCTAAAGAAGAAACAGGTCTATTCAAAGCTAACAATGGAACCAAACCCTTATGGCTCCTACCACCTTGAAACTCAAGAATATTTTATGTTCCAAATTGGTGAACTAAGAAGTCATCTGATTGCACTTAATACCCATGAAATATTAATAAAATTGAAGAGTAACAATGCTACTCCTAATGCACAACTGTCTGCCTTTAATTAAAACACTTCACAATTCATTTTATGAAAGAAGAGTTAATCAAAGGACAAAAACTAAAACATTATACGTACCCAACGATAATTAAGAGGAGCAATAATCCCCCTATATATGCAACAACAAGCAGCCATTCGAGATACCAATCACTAAACAGTCACAGGAATGAAATTTTGGTCATCACCACACAATTTTAAAATAGCCACAAACCACATATTTGTTACGAGTAACTCGTACACGTATTTTGTTCCTAAATACTTGTAACACTAGATTTAGCAAGTAGTTTTAAGAATGGCTATGTTTAGTGCATGGAAATGAATAAACTAATACACAAGTTATCTTTGATTGATTGTGAAATAAAACAATGTCTTGTTATGTTCACCCGGTATTTCACTTCATTTGGAAAATAATAAGTTTAGATAAATTCAAATAACAGTTATATAAGTTCAAACTACCATTAAAATAAATCCTAATAAGTTTATAATAGTGAAAATCAGGTGAATTGAAAACACCCGTGTGTACTCCGCCTAATTAAAAAAAATGTGTTGTAAAACAAACGACAAAAGACAATTGTTGCAAATATTTAAAAACGAAGGTTGGGAATATTGGGATTATAAATTTTAAGTCGTTTGTCAACAAAACATACACGGTCAAAACGGATAAGATATCATGAACACGAGAGGAACATAAATGACAAATAAAGATGATAGAAATGAAACCTGTTGAAAGCACATATTGCAACAATGTGACCACGACAAACACCCAACTGGCTGAGCTTATGAGCAAGACTCAACACGCTTTCAACAAACTGCTCGCCTGACTTCCGTCGTTCGTCGGCAATAGTCACCGTTGAAATACGCTGGAGTGTTAGAAGGCGGTTTAAACATTGGCAAATATGGGCCCTTGACCACTCGCTCATGTTTCTCTACCCCGTTACTTTGAACTGAAACCGATTAATCATGTCAATAATTAGCTGATAAAATCATAAATTAATGACAAATTAAACCAAAAAAAATGAAACCCATTACCGGAAAATGTATATTATATGAGTATATATTAATAAATTGAAAGGAATATAAGAAAAGGGAAAGAGTTACTAACTTAACTGAGCGGTGGACGAGGCTCTACGATTGAATGATATGACTGCTGATAGATTGTTGAATACCAAACATAGTTGTATTGACCAACGAGTGAGAAGGAAAGGTGTGAATAGACTGATAATGATAATTGAGTAAAAGCTTATCAATTTGATTTGTGGTACTAGTACTACTTCATTCTTAGTTGGTATCTAGCGGGAAATCGGTAAGATATTGGCCCCTTAGACGGTTAGACCTCGTCAGGCATGGACTCATGGAGTCATGAACTCATAGTATAAAAATTTATAAAATCTCTCTCTATCACTTTCTCACTCCTTCACATTATTTATACCACAAAAAAATATACTTTCTTCAAAAATCATCTCACCCATGAAATACAAAAAAATTACCACCACACTTTCTCTCTCTCATTTGTATTAATAATACACTTAATTTGAAGTCCCTCGAATAGGGTGAGTGGTCCTTGCGCTAGGGTTTTACCGTACGAAGCTTTTCTGGCGAATTCTTAACTGATTCTACTACAATTTGAACGTTCTTTTGTTCCTGTGTTCTCAATGGCGAATGAATTGATCAAAGACTGGGAGAAATTTCAGTTAACGGATGAGGAAAACTCTGTAATTGGGAAGATTGATGATGATGCTGAAGGGGTTTTGACGGGTCACCTAACCATGGCTCTTGTGGGAAAACTGCTCACTGTGAAACCTTTCAATATTGAGGCGATGACAAAAACCCTTATGTCGGTGTGGAGATTGGAGAATAACATTGTGATAAAAACAATTGACACAAATTTGTTCATCTTTCAATTTGTTAACGAGGAAGATAGGAAAAGAGTTCTTGATGGTATGCCTTGGTCTTTTGATGGAAAAATCCTACTGCTAAAGGTGATCAAAGAAGAGGAACAACCTTCTGAGGTAACCTTCGATAGCACTCCTATGTGGATTCGTCTTTTTGATGTGCCATTCAATAGAAGAGATCCCTCTGTTATGAAGGAAATTGGGGATGTGTGAGGGGGTTTCCTTGAGATAGATAATGCTAATTCTCTTGGATAGGGAGAGTTCATACGGATCAAAGCCATGGTTAATGTATACAAGCCTCTCTGAAGGGGCCTGTTCATTGCAGTTGAGGTTTCGAAGTCGAAGTGGATTGACACAAAGTATGAAAGACTTGCCGATTTTTGCTTTTACTGTGGTGTGCTAGACCATACAAATAGAGAATGTGAGAAGGAAGAAGAGGGGGAGGGAGGTAGTGATGTTGTGTATCAATATGGGCCATGGCTAAGAGCGTCACCGCTAAAATCATCAAAGTTTGCGCTTGATAACTTAGAGAAGGAGAAGAAAATTATGGAGAAGGTGACTACAGGGAGTGGCAATCGATGTTTAAACTATAATGATCCAAATGTAGTGAAACTTGGTCCTGTGGGTGTGGCTCATAAACTCAAATTTGTTTCCCCAAGTGCTGATATGGGTGTGTCTCCACCCAAGGAGAGAGAAGTACAGTTGGCTGTTATGATGAATGAACAGTCAAAGAAGCTTGTTTTCAGGCCTCGTTAAATTCAGAGTATGAAAGAAGGTAATGTGGTGAAGGAGAGTGAAGAAAAATAATAATGGAAGTGAGCTAGACACTGTTGCTCATAATGCAAGTCGTGATTTGGTTGTGGTGGAAAAGTACAGGGGAGGAGGTATATAATACGGTGGGTGGGGGAAAGGACAAGGGGGATATTGGGGAAAAACTCTCCTCTAATTTCTTTGTTGGAATTGGTAATAGTGGGGATCGGGGAGTTGTGAAAAAGATGGGGAATGTGGGGACAGGGGTGAGAGGTGATGGAAAGAGTTGGAAAAGAATGATGAGAGGGGATGATGTGAGTATGAGGGAGAGTAATTTAGGGGATACTTGTGACATAAATGTAGCAGGGGGGTTCTCTAAAAAGGTGTATGAGGGAAGACATAGAAGATGAAATAAGTGGGGATGGTACAAATGTTACAAGAAAACAAAAGAGTGGAGTAGCAAAATTTGTTGTGGCAAACAACTCTAGAGTAGAGGGACTTGGGGATAACCAAGCCCTCGAACGACAATGAAACTCTTAAGTTGGAACGTCTTTGGCCTTGGCAACCCATGGACGGTACGCTCTCTTTGTGACTTATGTTGGAAGGAGAGGCCAAATATTGTCTTCACTATGGAGACAAAGGTGTGTAGTAGTGTTTTGGAGAGAATAAAAAGGCGTTGTGGCTTTGATCATGGTATTTGCCTAATTAGTGATGGAAGATCTGGGGGGATGGGGTTTTGGTGGCGTGACATGGAGGTGGAGCTGCTATCTTTCTCAAAAAATCATATTGCGGCTAATATTTTGGATGGTGAGGGAAATACAATGTGGAGAGCCTTTGGTATCTATGGTTGGCCGGAAGCTGAAAATAAATATAAAACCTGGACTATGTTGGAAAATCTACATAGGTAGGGTACAACCCCTTGCTTGATGTTTGGAGATTTCAACGAGATTATTAGCATGAGTGAGAAGGATGGGGTGCTATTCGTAGAGAGAGATGTATGGATGGTTTTCGTGAGACTATCGACTGATGCGGGTTGCGTGATTTGGGATTCTCTGGGAACATCTTTACTTGGAAGCGTGGTCTAAATCCGGAAACCATTGTTCGAGAACGACTTGATAGATCTCTTGCTGAAGATGGGTGGTGTAATTTGTTGCCGAATTATACTGTGAAACATCTACCCATTCAAAACTCTGATCATGCACCATTATTATTAGAGGCAGGGAATTATTTCGAAAGGGGTAAGAAGGAGAAATTATTTCGGTTTGAAGCACTGTAGTTATCAAGGGAGGAGTGTGGTGAGGTGGTTGCAAATGCATGGAGGGGTAATGAGGGGGCTGATCTCACGTCCGTATCATGAGTTGTGCTAAGGATTTAATCAAGTGGGCTGCTTCGACTTTTGGCTCCTTAAAGAAAAAAATCCGAAAGGTTGAGCAGGCTTTAGGAGAGGCTCAAGCAGGGAGAGTTGATACTCAGATGCTACATAACTGCACAAGGTTATTCGCAGAGCTTGATGAATTAAGACGCCTTGAAGAATCATATGGGTTTGCTAGATCAAGGGCAAATGATTTACGAGATGTGATAAAAATACGTCTTATTTTCATCGAAAAGAAAGTCAGAGGAAGAAAAGAAACTACATAAGTGGTCTCTTTGATAAGCACGACGTTTGGCAGGAAGAACATGAGAAGCTGCAATCTGTTGTATCGGATTACTTTGCTGAATTATTTGAAATGGAGCACCCGTCAAATTTTAATGAGGCTCTTACAGGTTTAAACACCATGGTGTCGGAGGAGAATAATGCCAGGCTTGAAGCTGAACAGAGTGGTAAGGAAATAAAAGCAACGCTCTTTCAAATGCACCCAAACAAAGCACCCGGACCGGATGGTATGCATGCTTTATTTTTTCAGAAATTTTGGCATATTGTTGGGACCGATATTATTGATTTTGTGAAAAAATGGTGGAATGGTGGGGTGGATTTGTTAGAAATTAATAAAACATGCATTGTTTTTATTCCAAAATGTAATGAGCCTAAACGGATGACAGAATTTAGACCGATAAGTTGCTGCAATGTGTTACACAAGATAATATCAAAAACATTGGCTAATAAACTAAAACCTTTGTTGAATGATATTGTATCGGTCAATCAAAGTGCTTTTGTCCTGGGGGCATCTAATAACAGATAATGCATTGGTTGCTTTTGAGATTTTCCATGCTATGAAAAAAGGGGGGAAGGGAAAGATAGGTCCATTGCTCTTAAGCTTGACATGATGAAAGCGTACGATAGAGTTGAATGGGTTTTTTTGGAGAAGATGATGGCAAAGCTCGGTTTTTCTGTGCTGTGGATAAAAAGAATTATGGATTTCTTGGCTAGTGTCTCTTTTTCTTTTAAGGTGAATGGTGTGATTTCGGGTGAAGTTCATCCCTTTAGGGGTCTTCGACAGGGAGATCCTATTTCACCATACTTGTTCCTCCTGTGTGCGGATTCTTTCTCCTCACTTTTGTCCCGTGTTGCGAGGGAAAATAGAATAAAAGGGGCCAGTATCTGTATTGGGGCACCTAGAGTCTCATATTTGTTTTTTGCCGATGATAGCTTATTGTTTGCAAAAGCTACTCTGCAGGAATGCTCGGTTGTTGCTGATATTATCAGTATTTATGAAAGAGCATCTGGTCAAAAAGTCAATTTAGATAAGACAAATGTAACTTTTAGCAAATGTGTGCCGCTGGATCGAAGGATGGAGATTGTTGAGACTTTGGGGGGTAAGGGAGGTTGACAGACATGAGAAATATTTGGGGCTTCCGAATGTCATTGGTAAATTAAAAAAGCCGTATTTTGTGCCTAAAGGAACGAATTTGGAAAAAAATTAAATGGGTGGAAGGAGAAATTATGTCTAGACCGGGTAAGGAAGTACTCATCAAAGCAGTGGCTCAAGCGATTTCGACATATATGATGAGCATTTTTAAGATACCAGATGGATTAATTGATGAAATCCATACTCTTCTTTGTAGTTTTTGGTGGGGGTCGAGAGAAGATGCTAAGAAGCTACATTGGCAGAGTTGGGAAAAATTATGTCTTCCAAAGGCGATGGGGGGTTTGGGTTTCCGTGATCTGAAAAGCTTCAATCAAGCACTGTTGGCGAAGTAAGCCTGGAGGCTTTTTAAGGGAGGCAATACTCTTGTGCACCAAACTTTGAAAGCGAGATCTTATAAAAGGTCAATTGTCATTGAAGCTAATAGAGGCCATAACCCAAGCTACTCTTGGAGAAGCATTTGGGGAGCAAAGTCTGTGTTACAGGATGGTATGGGTTGGAGAGTAGGCACATGGCATGACATTAAAGTATGGACAGATCCTTGGATTTTTTATGATCGAGAAGTTGTGTATCCTACTCCAAATAGCACAAGTGATTTGGGGTTGAGGGTTAGTGAGCTGGTGGTGGAAGGGGGTGGGGCGTGGGATAGGGAACTAATTAATAATTTATTCCCTAATGACATTAGTGCTGCAATTCTTGCCACCCCCTTATCTAGTAGAAGCCCAGGAGATTCACTATTCTGGATCCATACGAAGGATGGAGTCTTTAATGCCAAATCGTGCTATTGGCTTGCAAGTACTGGTAGATTGAAACAAAGTGACTCTGATGCAGAAAATGCTAAACTGTGGCGAGGCATATGGCACTTGAGAGCTCCCCCAAAGTTGCAGCATTTTATATGGAGTGCGTGCAGGGGTAATTTGGCTGTGAAAGAACGTCTTGTGCACAGACATGTCACTGAAGATGGAACCTGCCAGGTATGTGGTGTTAGAAATGAAATGATAATTCATGCACTCTTTCATTGTGAGGCTACTGCTGAAATTTGGAGACATAGCAACTTGGTGAATTTACTAGTAGGAGCACCTACTGATTCTTTTAAGGAGAGATGGAGCTGGTTAGCCAGCAGAGTGAAAACGAAAGAGCTGAGATCAATGGGGGCTTTAATATGGGCTGCCTGGTTCTGCAGAAATAAGGTGGTCTTTAGCAATAAGAGGGAAAATGTGGTCCTTGTTGCTGCTGGTTTTTCGAGCTTGGTTGATGAGTACTGTGAGTATACGAAGAAGGTGGGATGTCTACCTGCTATGGGACGTATTGACATGGCAGCAAGTAGTGCTATTTCTTGGTTCTGCCCACCTAATGGCGTGGTGAAAATAAATGTCGATACCTATGTATGTGCAGGCAGCTTTGTGGGACTGGGGGCAGTGGCTAGAGATGAGACAGGGAAGCTCTTAGTTGCTGGAACAAAACGCATCCCCTATACAAGTCTTGCAATAACGGAAGGTCTGGCTGCTCGGTATGGTTTACTCCTCGCAAGAAGATTTGGTTTCAGCATTATTCATGTGGAGAGCGATGCTACTAGCGTTATAAAAGGTGCTTATGGCAAGAACAATGGCCTTACCCCAATCCACCTAGTGTACGAGGATCTTAGGCATGAATTAGCTTTTTTCGATGCTTGTGTTTTTTCTCATGTTAGACGAGCTTGTAATACGGTTGCCCATCACATAGCTAGATGGGATACCGAATCTTGTGATGAACTTGTTTGTACTGGACCTTTCCCGCAGAGTATCATTACTCTTGCGGAATTGGATTTAATTTAATAAAAGCTCATACTATCTTTCCCTCAAAAAAAAATAATACACTTAATTTAATTATATTTATTTTTTATTTTATTATTGGAAATAACTAATTAATGTTTGTAAAGTTAATTAAATAAAATAAAAAATTAAGGTAGTAAAAAGTGAATTCAAAAAAATATATAAAACTGCATCAATACAAGTGTCTATTTAAAATTATGAATAATGATAATTTTTTCATAATTTTTAACTTTATAATTTTTTTCTTAAAATGCAATTGAAAAAAAAAAAAATACATGATAACCAGGCCACATGGCATGACCTGATTGGTTCATGTTTCACGGGGAAAAAGCAAATGTTTACCATGGGGTGGTATATACCATCAAATGGTATAATTTTATACCTCCAATGTAGTAAAAAAAGTGTAGGTTTTTGATGAGTTTTTACACTATGGTATAAAATTATACTCCGAGTATTGATGCTCTTATATTGTACTTTATACTTCGTATAATTTATTATGGATTTATTACTCTGTTTTGTATAATTTATTAATTACGCGTACGTATTATGTAGTCCGTATAATGTTATAAAATTACATGTTAAATAATCTATCAAGATCCCACATAACGCTTTGTTTGGCAAAGAAGGGAGGAAAAGAAGGGGAGGGAAAAAGGTGGAAGAGAAGGCAAAAGAAAGAGAAGGGGATATGAGCTCAATTTTCCCTCCAAATCTCTTCGATTTTGGAGAGATTATGCTTATTAAAGAGAGAGGGAAAATGGATCTCTCCCTCTTCTTTCCCTTCCATCCTCTAATCCCTTACTCAAACAAGAGAATTTATCCCCCTTTCTTTCTCTTCTCTTCTTTTCCTTCTATTTTTTTCCATCCAAACAAAGTGTAAATGTTATTAATTATGAATTGATACTTAAAAGTGAATGAGTAATAAGCGTGTGATAATAATAAAGAGTGTTTGGTGGGAAGCTAATTGAGGCAAAATTAAATTAGTCAATTTGATAAGTAGTATATTTTAGCTAATTGGCCAATATAATAAGCCAATCGAAGTGTAGTGGGAGTGTAGGACTAGTAGCCAGCTAATTCCACTCAAATAAGTTTTTTATTTTTTTCAATCAGTCGCTTAAATGAGTTTTATCAAATTTAAGGGAAGGAGTTGTTGTCGCTTGTTTAATGGAGGTGGAGGACGGGAGGATAAGGGTTTTCCATTGGATTTAAATATTCAATGGAGGTGGAGGGGTAAGGGGTCGATTTAATGGAAGGGGGGAAAAGAAAGAAAAAAAGGCAGGAAAAAAAAGGGAAAGTAAAAAAATTATTTTTCCGTAAATGTAAAATATATTAGAGGAATTATAATGTGACATGTGGTAAGATGACATGATATTATAGTTTGGTGAACGATTTAGCCTAAAAAAATTAAAGACCCCCAAGCTTAGATTATTTAATTCAATTTTCCCTTTTTAAAGTATCTTTGTGATAAAGTAGGGACAAAAAAAAAAATAACATTGTCTTTGAAGAGTTGAATCCGTTGAGGGATATATATGTGTCAAACGACGAGTAAATCCAAGTTACTCAATTTGAGTAATCTGGCATGTTACTCAATCGGCACGTCGGTCATTTTCCTATCAAAGATAAGGGTAATTTCACGTCGGGTTTTACTATAGTAGACGCCATAACGGTGGGTAAAGGACGTTAACGTGAGTTAAGCAAAGGTCAGGATTTGCTCCCGGTGGATTAAGGAAGCGATCTTGAAATTCTTTAATAATGGAGCTTAATTATATTTTTCAATGGAGGTACACGAAATCAATGGAGGAAGGAAATACAAACACCGACCATTTGGGGTTAAACATGCCCTAAATTTATATAATTTTCTTTGGGTTTTTCATTACTTTGCCACTGAGAAATGGTAGTGTTGGGATTGGGGTTTGTTGTGGTGTTAGGCATAGTGTTTGTTGTGGTTGTTGGGGTTTGTCTGCCATTGATGATGAGTATGGAAGAAAAGGTTGAAGAATATGGAAAAATTACGGAGGTTGATGAACATTAAAAAGAAAAAAGGTTACTCATTAACCCCGGCTCTCTCGCTAAATGACCTTTGAAATTTCCGTTGAAAAACACAAAAAAATTACATCATTTTAAAAACTTATTCCCACTTTATTGTCCAGATAGGATTGGAGGAAGCTTTGTTATTATTTTTTAAAATTCTGGTTCAGTAAAGAACCGCTAGCCCTAATGGTGATAGTGGTTCTATACATTAAAACCGCAAACACCGTTAGCGCTTTTATACATTAAACTAGTTTTTGGCCCGGGCAATGCCCCGGGTCAATATATGTAGATTATAAATGGGGTTTATAATAAAAATTATGTGATAAAATACAAATATAGATTAAATTAGTTACATTTGTTGTAAATAAAGGAGTAATCTAATACAAACAATATCAAAATATTAAGTAAGATAAAAAAGATAATTTCACAAACAATGGAACAATATCGGTCCATTGTGATGCAAATCACTGACTTGGAAACGAATTTCCGACGCAACCAAGGTGTTCAATTGTATTTGCCGGCACAAACCTTAATGTTGACACGCCACTTCCACTCAAAAACACTTTTGGGTGAAAGGTTTGAGTCGAGTAGCTTATACCCAACAGAGAATGTGTTTAGACTATCGTACTTGATGTATTTTTCAAGTGTAAGAAAATTAGGAAATAAAATAAAATAAAATAAAAAATGGCTTCTTCAATCTGTTTATAAAAGAAACATGGAGGTAGCAAAAGAATCCCAAACATCAAGGAAGATAAATAATCACCTTAAATATCCTCTTAAATGGGGGGTTATGAGAGTTACTTATCAAGAGAATAATGGCGTTGATTAATCACCTTAAGCGTCCTCTTTAAATTGGGGGTTATAAGAAGGATTTTTTAGAAAATAACACCATACAATAATAAAAAATTTGATTATAACACCACAAAATTTCAAACTTTTATTATAACACCACAAAAAACCAAAAAAAATTGATTTCACCACCACTTTCTAACGCCATCCAAAAAACCATTAGTGAGCACTACACTTTACACGTGTCAGTTAACTAGTTGATTAAAACAAAGAAAAAAAAAGAAAAAACCACAACTCCTAACCCTAGCCACCACCCTCACCACCGGCGCTGTTCTT